GGGTGTGGGTGTGGGTGTGGGTGTGGGTGTGGGTGTGGGTGTGGGTGTGGGTGTGGGTGTGGGTGTGCGTGTGGGTGTGGGTGTGGGTGTGGGTGTGGGGTCATGAAAATATTGTTGCTGGTGCAAGTCTTGGCGATCTCTATTCACCCAATGTACGATCAGTTCTTTGCGAATTTACAACTTCCGGTACAGCGAATGGTGATGGAGCCGAAATTGAGACACTTTCATATGAATTACGATACTGTCGACCAAACGATCTCAATGGTGAACCTACAGTGATCAAAAATACGATGTCACTCAAATTTGTCGAAGATGAATCACTTGTCACAGAGATTAATCCTCGTGTGAAAACTATATTTGCTTCTCAAACGGCTGCTGAAGTCGACAGAAAAATGGCACAATTAGTGAGAGATGGCAAAAGAGATGAAGCTATTGATATGGCTACTGAACAAATTGCGTTACTTAAAGATGCTGCACAATTTGATGATGAAAGAGGATCCATTTCATTGCTACTTCAACTGGCTGAAAAAATGCTTAAGAAGCTTAAAGATGAAAGCATCACCAGTACGCTTGTTTGTCGAAGATTCGAACATAAAGCTTACTTAGAAGAAGAATGTGATGAAGACGATATGGGTTATGGTTTATTTGAATAATTGAAAAAACGCCGGAACGCTTTTTTATCAGAATAGCAAGAACCAAATTTATTGCATTTTTCTTTTAAAAATAAAAAGTATATGTACAAGGAAAACTATTACATATTTTCGTGAAAGCTTACGAATTTAGGCAGCGAATATATGACATATACTTCAGATAGGCAGATTAAGAAGTCTAGTTATAGCATAAAAAGTAACGTAATGATAGGATATAATTTTTTGTGGTATCTATTGATGAATACTATGTGGTCATCAGAGTTGCAGAGAAACGGTCATAGCGTTTTGAACTACACTGTTGTAAGATTATTATTCTTTGTCTCATTGAATAATCCCGAAAATGAGTATAATGGGGTAATTTGAAGCTGTCTTTCAAATCAGCATCAGTTTAGAAGAGGAGGGACCGTCGTGTGGATGGGACGAACAATTCTCTTTCATTGAAGAAAACGCATTTCAAAAGCAACAATGGATTATCCTTAATAACCCCACTATGTACGAACGTCTCTCTCTCTTTTCTCTGCAAACTCAAATTCTGTACAGGGAATAAGTTCTGAAGGATTTGTTCGTTTAATATACAGCGGCGATGTAACAATGTACTTATCTTACAGTCCTCGTTGTTGTTTTTTCGCGATTTGTAGTGAAACTCACTATTTTAGCTTACTGTTTATCTTGTTCTGTAACACAACTTTGTGGGTGAGGGTGTGGATGTGAGAATAAAAAGAGAATTCCAAGCTACGTACGACGCGTTTCGACTTTGCTTAAGGGTTCTCGTCGGGTAAATTCGGAATTCGTATTGTCATCTGACTAAGTTTAGTGGAAAAAAAGAAAAAGAAGGGGACCGAAAACAGCGAAAGAAAACATGTCACGTTTTTTAGAAAATTGAAAATAGTCCTTTTTTTTTAAAATGTCATATCTCGGTGAAAATGTTTTTTGTTTGACCTGAAAATCTGGCTACAGAGTTTCTTAACATGGGCTATCGCATGTGCATAGTTACATTCAAATTTGAATTTTTCCATGTGACACCCCCATGGCATGATGCTTGATTCTCTCGTAAACGCGTGCGAGTACATTCCTAGCCATGTGTCTGACTAACAATATGAAAACGCTGTACAAAGTCATGGAGGTATAAATTTCTGTGTGCAACCAAGCCAAACGCCGACATGTAAAGTTGTAGATCTTACACTCATGGCCAACAACTCTTATTTCATTTTTTGGACATTGTACTGTATATAGATGATTCTTCTTTTGTCCCGTAGCACTTGTTATGACAAGAGTTTATTCATCCGATGTGTAGCACATCGATCCTGAGGAATTTTTGTAGGGTATCTCTTCTAACAGCTTTTGCCCAACTTGCATCATTTTTGCTTCGTCTTCCGATGATCCACAATAGAAAATGATCACTCCATCAGAGGAGCTATTGGCACGCAAAATATCGCAAGCTGTCGACACTTTCATAGAATGTATCCCTTCCAGACTTCCAGCTCGATATTTGGGTGTAGGTGTGGGTGTGGGTGTGGGGT